GCACAGAAATGGCCAAAGGGCTGCTGGGTGGGCAAGGATGTTTGGTGAGATGATGATAATAATGATGATGATGATGATGACAAACAGCAACCCTCAACTTCTGTAGAGCACTCATCTTGTGACTGATGATTTAGACTCTCACCAATTGGTTTCCTTTCGTAAGCGCCCCAACTGGGGATCGAACCCGCAGCCCAGGTATGTGCCCTGACCAGGAATCAAACTGGCAACCCTTTGATGAACAGGATAATGCTCCAACCAACTGAGCTACTCCGGCTGGGCTAGAATCTCACTTCTGAATCTGTTTTTTCCTTATGGACACTTGTGACTGTAAATGCAAAAGTGATTTGAATTGAACTCTGATTAATAAAATGCATGCTTCAATTCCCTTTAAACCCATCAAAAAAATAAGATGAGTTGATGGATAGAGAGATAGAAATGGGAGAAAGCAAATATACCAAAGCGTTCATTATAGAACCCACGGTGTTTACCATAAATCCTTTCAACATTTTTATATGTACAAATGGTTTTACAATTTAAAAGATTGGGGGAAATGCGATTTGAAAAGTTTGGAGTGCCATATAAATGACAGGAGTGAAGAAGCAGATAGGATTACTTGGAGGGGAAGGGAAAAGTCATTTGCTGCACACCTAATGTATGCCAGGCTCTTAAACAATTTCTCTCTCACTGAATCTGGGAGTCACTCTGCTATGTTAGCTGAAGACGGTGACCTTGGAGCAGTTAGGGGACTTGTCCAAGACAACACAGGCTGGTATAGAGTGGGAGCCCTTCAGAGATTGAAAGGCCCTTCTTTTTCCCATCTGGCCCAGCTTCTTGTGAGGTCCTGGGCCAGGGACCCGACCTATGGGCCTCAGTTTCCCCTACTGTACAATGAGATTGGAGCCAAAGTTATTCAAGCTCTTTTTTCACTTCTAACACTCACCCATTTTATTAATTCAACCAAACCATTCCCCAGGCTTTAATTTTCCAAAGAATAAAGTGACAGGGGAGGGGTGCAGAGGGACAAGCATTTGGGGGGCCAGCGTCACAGGGGAGATGGTCAGCATATTAGAGAACTGCTCTCCAACCCCATCAGGAACAGGGAAACCTTGAGGCTGGCTGGGAGAGGGGCACTTCTCAGGACCGCGCATGGCGAAGGTGGAAGTAGAGGTGTCATTATACCCACCTCTCCCTCCAGAGCAAGATGACCTCATCCCCTCCCAGGTGGGAAGTCTAAAATTCTGACTTTAGGCATCCTAAATTTAAGCAGTCCTAAATTCTGGCATCACAGAACCTACCAGCCCTGACAGCAGCCTCAGTCTGTGACCAGTGGGTACTGCCAGAGCTGGAAGGGACAAGGCCCCACAGAACTCCCCTCGGAGAATGTTGGACTAAGTAGGGAAACCTGGCCCAGGCCTCCCGGACCCCTGCCCTCTCCAGCCCTCTCCAGCCCCAATTCTGGGGCAAAGGTGACCCCTAATAGCCTTATCCTGCCTGACCCCACATCCCTTGCAGACCAAGGGCTGCTCTTGGGCTGGATCAGTCCTAGTCAGGGGAGGGAAGTGAGGACTTCATGTCGGCAATCTAGAGGTGGGTAGCGAGTCTGTTATGAAAATAAAAGGTGCCCCTTTTGGGTCACAGCACAGCAGAAGTGTCATCCTCCCCATCTCTTCCCAACCCTCACCCACTGTCATCCTGATTGACATCAAATAGTCCCTGCTCCCCTCCTCCCCCACAACACCCCTGCTCCCAACCATCCGTTCCAGCTCTACAGCGGGGCATCCAGAGCCCCCTGTGATGGCACTGCCTCTTGAGTCTACTCATCAGTGCTCAGAGCTCAATTCAAAAGCCACACCCTTCATGGATCCTTCTCCAGCCACGCCAGTTGGTAGGCACCATCCCTCTGAGCACCCAAGGCTCTTGCTCGTCTACTAATGCCAAGATATACACTTGTTGGGCGCACTTCTGTATCTCCCATTAGTTGAGCAAAGATTTGTTTATCTTCCCTTCCCCTTCCCTAATTTGTCCAGTGCCTAGCACAAGGTTGACTCATAATAGGCTCTCAATAAAGGTGAAATGAATAAGTAAATGGTGAAGAGATGGACAGATGGGTGATTGGTAAAAAATTGAATAAAGGGGCACTTTTAATGCTTAATTCTGCACAAGGTTGTACCAAGATCATTGTTGGCAGACATTTATCTTCAAAGCTATAGAATCACAGACAGAAGAACTACTCATACTAAGACATGGGACCATTAGATACACGATGCCCCAGGTACATCCCACCCACCCAGGTCTGCAGCAGATCCAGGGGACTCTGAGAGACACCCTTCTCCAGCTGTTCTCAGGAAGGCTTGGGTGGTGAAACGCTCCACGCCCTCCCCCCACATCCCACATCCCAACATCACCCCCTCTTTCCCAGCACCTGGGCACAGAACCATGAATTCAGCAAGTCTCTAGAAACCACACAGACAGGAAGTCAAGGACCTAAAAGGTTTCAAAGAAGAGGAGCAGCCTTCCCCTTTATTTCCAAGAGCTGTCCCACAAATGATCATCCACCCCCGCTTTCCCCAGTGTCTGTACCATCATCTACACAAACACACGGAGTGAGAACTGCTTTGTGCAGAAGCCTGCTCAGCCCCTTTTCTCTCCACTCCCCACTCCTCCTCCTCCTGGCCAATGAAGGCTCAGAATTCCCAGGGTTTCCCATCTCCCATCCCCCAGTCCCCTCGAGCCAGCCCAGACCCCTTTCCCTCCTCCCTCCCTCTCTCCTTCCCTCCCAAACCCATGTGCAGCACTGCACATCTGGTTCCAGTTGTGGTTGGTCCGTTCAGGGGTAGGCCTGGGGGTTTCTCATAAAACTGAATAACACCAGTGTTGGAGCCCAACGGAGCTGGGGGATGGGAGGGCAGGAGGCCTATGGGGCAGAAGGAGAGAAGACAGCAGCAGGAGGCACGGAGACACACAGGACCCAACAGGAGCAGGGCAGTGCCTGGCATCTAGTGAGCAGTCAATGGATGCCTGTTCACAGGAGATAGAAGCTGGGGAGACAGAGGGCAGGAGCACCAGGAGGAGAGAGAGTGGGACAAAGAGGGGGTCAGAAACAGGGACCCAGAAGGAGGAAAGAGACAGAACCGGGGGTGGGGGTGGCTCCGGAGCCACAGAGAGACCATTGAGAAAAGCAGGCAAAATGAATTGTGTGTGTTGGGACCAGGTGCTGAGTGAAGCCCTTCGTTGGGGAATGAGGGGACATAACAGAAAGGAAGACAGAGGGACACAGAGAGACAAAGAAGGACAGAGATAGTCAAGAGAAAGATGGCCCAAGAGTGTTGAATCCAGATTTCTCTGGCCGCTCAGCCCTCACAGTAGGGGTTGGGGATCGACCTAGAGCTGCTCTCCTTTCTTCCTTCATTTTTTTAAAAATTGATTTCTGAGAGAAGGGGAGAGGGGGAGAGAGAGAGAGAAACATCAATGATGAGAGGCAATCATTGATCGGCTACTTCCTGCACGCCCCCTACTGGGGATGGAGCCAGCAACCCGGCCTGTGCCCTGACCGAGAATCAAACCAGGGACCTTTCAGCTGCAGGCCAATGCTCTATCCACTGAGCCGAACCAGCGAGGGCCCCTTCATGTATTTTCCTCGTCATTGAAGTGCCTGCCCTGCACCGAACCTTTCCCACGTGCTTTTCCTCTCAGGCCCCCATGAGAACTTGGGAAGTGGCCCCGATTCTTTCCCAGCCTTAGAGGTGGGTTCTGAGCACTTCAGTGATTCACCCCAAATCACAGCAGCTGATGGAAGGACAGAATCTGAATTCACATCTTCCAACTCAAGGCTGTGTCACCACATGACACAACTGGGAATTCCGGGCCTCAAGGCTCCCTCTGGAGGGCATCGTGTCATGTGACCTATACTCTCAAGGGGACAGATTCCCAGGTTTTTACACAGCTAAGGGGAAGTTCCTCTGAACTGGACTAAGAGTTGACCAGAAACACTCACCTTCCTAGGATGGCAGAGGGGTGGCCTCCAGGGGAGTTGCAGGGGCCTCCCACTCTAGTGCCCTTGGCCTCCACTCTCTTCCTCCCTCTCTACCACAGAGAAAGCAGGGTCACGTGCCCAGGTCCCCAGGAGAGAGAACCTGGGCCTCAGAATCCTG